GATGACGGCGGAAAGAAAGTTGTGGATAAAAGTGCAACAGTGTGCAAGCATTGTGCAACACGTTTTGTTTATGCTAACAGCAACACGACCAACATTTCAGGCTAACAATCAACATATACCGAACCGAAAACCATGACCACGAAACCGTGAACCGAACCGAACCGTGGAATTTGTGAACCGTTCCACCCCTAGAAATTCAGATTCAAAAGTCTCTTTAGCTCAGAGGTGTTCAATGGTCATGATCTCCCAGCGCAGAGAAGTCAAACTCATTTTCTACATTGGCTCACTTCTTTCTCATAAAGTCTTTAATAGGACCAGTTTAAGATGTTTAAAATACACTTTTTATTTCATTTACAAAGTTTTATCCCCTTTATAGGAACATGTCAGTCTGCCTGATGAGACGATATGCCTTATTTGGCTCTAGAGAGATGGATAAATTGTCTGTGATGACTTGAGTTTGGTGAATTGTGGAGGAACTGCACAGGTTGTTAAACCTGTATGTATTATTATATTTAATTTGAAATCTTCCTTTTCACATCCAGATCATTTTGTGAAATGCAATTTTAATAGGTATGAGCAATTTAATAAAATAAAGTTGAGCATTTAAAAATCACAGACTGGTTAAAATAGATTAAATTATAGTCAACCTATCAAGATGTGCAAATGAATATGTTCAATGAAGATTTCCTGAAGTAAAAGAAAGAAAAGAGGCCTGGCTGACACGCAAAGGCAGATCCTTCCACAGGTTGTGGACAGCTACAGCAACAACACGGTCCCATTAAACGTAGGCTTGGTTTGAGGCACAAGGAGCTGCTGGTTTGCAGAGAAGGTGGGATTATGTGGTTCAGAGAGTTTGGGACGAGGTTCCAGGTGATGCTTTGTTTATTTTTCTTTAGTTAGAGAACATGCTGTAGCATTTTGCACAACCTGCAGGCTCATACTGAGCACATCATTGACCCCAAAATAAGAGTCTCAAAAAGCTTCCTTGATAGTATGGGTGATATTTAGGTAAACTGCCTCAAGTGGGGGAAAAAAAAAAAAGCAAACAGCCTCCATCTGGGCTGTTGTGTCTGTGAAACACCAGTTCAAAGGGAAAAATCTTTAGAACTTAAGACACTATAAATACAAACACTCTAGCTTTGGGTCTAAATGACATTAATGCGTCTAAATAAAATCACTAGGCTGAAATCCAGTACTGTAATACAGTACTCTGAGCAGAGTTAAACTGATTATTTTTATTTGACTAAGTTTGGTTTTGATATGAAATGAGATGGACATGTAAGAAAGTAGGATTAATCAAGTTTTAGATTTTGTTTTTTTGTGTTATTTTGGACTTTATTTGGACCTTTAAAGTCTTGCTTGATTTAGGATGGCTTTAAAAGTAGTTTTTTTCCCCTTGTTAGGTCATTCTTTAAACTTCCTTGTTTATTCCATTGTTCCTATTTCCTCTTGCTTTGTCTTTGCTGGAGTTTTTTTTTTTTTACTGTCCATTCACGTTTAATTAAATTTTTTAACTCCACCCCTCCACCACAACCAGCTGCATTCAGTCCACCTGCGTCACACCAATCAGTATTTCAGTATTACTCCCCAGCTGCAGAATTCTCTTGTCTTGCCAGTTTATTGTTTTGCTCCTGCAAAGTTTGCCTTTGCTATGCTTTATCTATGCCAGCATCTGTTACCTCAATAACAGTTACATTTTCAGCTCATTGATCTGCTGCAGCCTGCCCTCTGCATCGTGGTCCAACTACAAGTACCACAGTCTGACAAAAAAAACAATATGAAATGATTAAAAACATAAAAAATAGCATAATAATTAACATTTTCTTACTTTTTTAAGGCATTTAAAATGTCTATATCCTTTTCAAGAGTCAGTGTAAGAGTTGTTTGATCAGTACAACATTGATAAAAACATTTTTTTATATATTACTGCAAACCTAGATCTGCCAGGTGTACCAATCATTTTGTGCTGAACTGCAGCTTTCTTAAAGGAATAGTACACCCAAAACATGATTAGCCTTCA